CCCCACACCCCGACCAGCGCTATGGCTTCAGGCAAGTGGACTTAATCCAGTGGACCCAACAGCAGTCCCACAAACTCCAAGCATGGCAGGGCCAGTGCCTTTTCATCAGCAAATCCCTCAGGACCTCGCTCGGAGCCTATTCATTCTATGTTTACACACTATTCTAATAAGCCAATCGGGTTCCCACCCTACCGTACCCCATAAATGGCAAATTGTGAGTCGTTGACAGCAAGAAGCAATGGCAGTTTGACAGAGGGCAGAAAAGCTATGAAACTAGACACATGACATACAGCAGGCTCCTCTGATGAGTCCTCAGCTCAGGGGCCGCTTGCCAATGGCAGGCACCATGACGAGAGCTTGGATCGGTCCCCGTTCTCGGGGTGAGGAGGCATCTCCTTTCTGGGCACACACTGAACCAGTAGGAGGCTCGGCAGTGGCCCGGGACCGAGGAAGCCCAGCGTCTGCTGGCACCAAAGAGGTCCCCGGCCAAGCCAGCCAGACCCTGGGAGCAGGCTCTGGGAGGAGGTGATCCTCGGACCTGAATTGTAAAGAGCAAGTGGGTCTCGGCCAAGGGGCAAGAAGGGAGTGTGCTCCTGGCCGAGCACGGCACAGGCAAAGGCCCGGAGACGCACGTTTGAGGACCCAAGCGGCGGGTGGCTGGAGAGGATGCTGAGGTGAGCAGGAACGGTTTAGAGGCAGAAGTTGGGCTGGGGAAGGCCATGCGTGGGCCTTGGCCTTTCCCTACCCCGCAGCGATGAGTCCCTCTGGGGAGCGCCTTCTGGGCCACCTTGTCTGGACCAGCAAGCCCAGGCTGCTCTGTGGGCACAGAGTTGATAAACAACATTCCCCTCGCTGTCTCTTTCCGGAGTCAACAAAGCATTGCTGAGCACCTACTAGATTCCTCACAGACGCTCATTCCTTTTTTTTTCTCCTTAATTTACTTTTTCATTTCCCCGTATGAAATAACGAAAGCACTTCCCCTCCCCGGATGTAACCGCAGGCACCAGCTTGGCCTCTTTGTTTCCAGATCTTTTCCTATGTACTCACATAGCTGCATTTGCCCCCATAAAAATACAGTGTTGCTCTGGGTAGACTATTTTCCTCTGTAAATGATAACATCTTTCTCCATCTTGCTCTTTTCACTGCTGGTGATCTGGATAGAGCGATCAACCCCCATTGTTTTAAAAAACTGGGTGGTATTCCTCACCGACCCCTGTGTGTTCATACAGACATCCCCTATGGATGGACACATGGGTTGTTTCCCAATTTTTGGCTCTTGGTACCAGCGTGTGAGAAACACTTTGTATACTTTTGTTTTGTTTTGTTTTTTAAGAGAGAGTGCATGCACAAGCATGGGGGTGCCAGGAGGCAGAGGGAGAAAGAGACAGAGAATCCCAAGCGGGCTCCATACTCAGCATGGAACCTGACGCGGGGTTCAGTCCCACAACCCCGAGATCATGACCTGAGCAGAAATCGAGAGGTAACCGATGGAGTCACCCAGGCGCCCCAACAGTCTGCATACTTTAAATGTTAATAGACACCTCCTGATTGCCTGCCAGTGTGGCCAGGCACGATTACCGCCTCAGTAGCCACGTCAACAGTATCTGCTCACCTGCATCCGCGCCAGTACTTGCTGTAATCCACCTGTTTCCATTTATGCCCGTGTAGTGGGCACATACCTGGAAACTCGCTGTTGCTTTAATGGCTGCTCATTCTTTGATCAAGTCAACAACTGTTCACCGAGCTCCTCCTATGTACCAGGCACCCTGCTAAGTTCAGGAGATGGAGCAATCAAGATCAAGGGGCCCCTTGGACCTCTTCACAGAGCGTGAGATGCAAGTAAGGCTCAGAGAGGTTAAGAGACAGGCCTGGGGTCATCCAGTGAGCGGGGTTAGTCAGAGAGCTGGGAGTGGAATCTGGGTCTGTACGGCTAAGGAGTGTGAGCTCTTTTTCCTCCTGAATCGTTCCTCAGCTGGGCATGGCAACCCAGGATCTCCAGATCTGCTTCTTTCTCCCCCAGGACCGCTGGGTTCCCTTAGGAGAGGCTGTGTCCTGCTATTTCTCAGGCCACACTCCCAGTCCCCCACCCCCTCCCGATATCCCACCCAAATGACATCTCTTCACCAGAAAGGCAAGGCAGGTTGCCTTCAGAATCTGCACAGCCTCTCGGTGGCTGCATTTAGCATCTGTTTCTGTTTCCTGAATTTGGGTTTCCAGCAGACTTGCCCCCAAACTATTGCCTCCCCACCCGAAACCGAGCAAGTGAAAGAATGAATCTGTGGTTTGATGTTTTTCCTCTTGTCATCGGGTGACTGACTATGAGAGGGGGTTGTGTGCCTGTGAGCGCCTGCTGGAGTGTGTTTCAGTGTGGGAGGGGATGTGTGTGAGAGCCCGTGCGTGTGTGTGTGTGTGTGTGTGTGTGTGTGTGTGTGTGTGTCTGTCTGTTTCGGAGTCCACATGTAAACCTAGCTTTCTGTGTCTGAGTAGGCTTGAATGGCGATTTCTTTGTGTGACTGGTGGTTATCTGTGTGTGTTTGTGCAACTTTTTCCTGAGTGTTTGTGTCAGGGAGCTGTGGGGTTAAGGATGGGTCCATGCAACCCAGCCTGTCTGCTTCCCAGTTGACTTCCTCTATTACAGAGATCCTATCTCCACAATAGAAGATCTCTTACCTTCAGTGATCATATCATCAAAGGACACTGTCCAGGGAATAGGGAGGCCCTTTGATGAGTAGGGCTCAAAGTCCCTGACCTTATCTTCTGACCCTTTGTCTCCACCTGCTCCCTTAAAATGTGCTTCCCAGACTCTTTTGCCCTGAGGTGTCAGTGACTATCACGGCATAATCTGGCCAGATTATGCCCTTATATTATTTATTTATTTTGTTTGTTTGTTTATTTTATTTATTATTTTTCATAAGTAGGCTCCACACTGGGCATGGAGCCTACATGGGGCTTGAACTCATGACCCTGAGATCGAGCTGAAATCAGGGGTCAGGTGCTATTAACCGACTGAGCCACCCAGGTGTCCCTTGGCCTTACATTTTTACTAGGAAACCGGGTGGTTTTGGGCAAAGCATGAAGGTCTGACCTCAGACCTGCCCTCCAGCCGACCTTATCGAGCTCTTTTACCTCTGAGTCTCAGCTTCTTTGTCAAGTCAGAGCAGTGTTGCCTCCTGCCTTAGGTGTGTGGATGCAGTGGAAACATTTATGTCAAAGCATCTGGCGCCTCATAGGTGCTCCGAACATGGTTATTTCCCCAGCCCGCTTGGGCCCTTCCCCACATCCTCTCAGGTGCGTGGTGCCCACCTGGAACATTTCCCTGCCGTGAGGGGCGGAGAGGGGCCCAGGAAGCGCAGACTGTGCACCAGGCCCTGTGCTGGATGCTCACGGGTGCATCATCTCAGGGAATCCCCCCTGCCCAGCAACACCTTGGGAGATGAGAGGGGGCACAGAGAGGGAAAATGCCTCGCTAAGGCCACACAGCAGAGCCCTCACAGGAGACCCTGTACTTCCTGCTACCACCTGGGGCACGTGCGTCGGAACTCGGATCCGACTCCCTGTAATTGACGTCTGGCAGGATATTAGTTTCAGGTTATGTATATGTGATGAAAGGACGACCTTCCCCCGGGCTCCCCGTCTGGTCCCTTTCCCTCCTCTGCAGACACCCCCATCATTTCCACACCCACCCACCTCCCTGTGTGTTCCACCCCGTTCTGTTAGCTCAAATGCCAAATGAAACAGAAGGGAGCACTAAGCATCCATGAGCCTGGCGCAGTGCTAGGTTACCCCGTTAGGCAAGATGGGGGTCCCAGGGGGACTTGAGTTCCCCCAGCTGGGAACTTGGGTCTGACCCCAAGAGGCTTCTGGGTTGGAAGGTGATTTACACGGGACCCTAACCATTCCCACTGTCTGGTACTTGATGCCATATTAATTGCAAAGTGCCTACTATGCACAGAGCACCCAGTCTTCATACCACTCACAGCCACCACCTCTTTGAGCCCTCCCTCCTAGCCATCCACCAGGAGCACCCATTTTACAGATGAGAAGACTGTGAAGTTCTCTCCTGATTTCAGTGCTCCAGTCCAGGCCACCATCCCCTCTCTGCGGGCCCCACCCTGCCAACGGCTCTTCATGTCCCTTCTGTGTCCTATAATTCAGTCTCCACACTGCAGCCCACACCGTCTTTAAAAGCACACGGAACCCTGTCACTTGCCCCATTTTAAGACTCTCCTGTGACTTCTCGCACCAAATATAATGGCCAAGCTCCCCGTGCAAATCCCTGCATGGCCTGGCCCCCACCTGGCACTTCCCCACCTCCTGTCCCACCACCTGCAGATCCTATGCCAGGAACACCTGAAGCTCTTCTCCCTCCTTGGGGCCTTTGCACATGCTCTACCTTTTGGCCCGGAATGTTCTTCCCTCAGGTCCACAGTTGCTCTGCATTATATGGCCTTGCTCCTTTGATACAACTTAATTGTGACTAGCAGATCTTGGGTTTCCATGCCGTTTGTGCCCTCTGCGTTCCCAGAGCCTAGCACAGCGCCAGAACATACTTGGTCCCTTAGTAAAAGTTTGTTGGAACAAGGCAGGTTCGAGAGGTTGATCAGCAGCCCGGCGTCACAGCAGGGAACAGGAGCAGGATTCAAACTCGGAGTGGTCTGGACTTCAAAATGCACATTCCTAACCCCCTTCCCCCCTCCCCACCTGTCTACTGCATGTGGGTCACATGAACAAGGGTGGGGGCCTGTGGGCATCCCATGTGTGTGTGTGTGCACATTTGTGTGCGCCAAGGTGGGAGCGTATAGGGCCAAAGAGGGCTCTGTCCAAGCAGAGGGCTGCCTGGCTGGCTTCGAAGGCTTCTTGGGAATCTCCAGCCCCCATTCATTTCTGCTCCTGGGCTGGCATTGGCTCCTTACACAGCCTCTTCCCTGCTTCCAGCTTCCATGCCAAGGCCCCAAAACATGTGACCCCCTTTAGTGAAATCAAAATGCCCACACAAGGAATAGTCATCCAGTATACAAGCTTTAATCAAGGTTGCATAGAAATCACTGTAGTACCATGTTCCTGCACACAGGTGGACTTCTTTCTAGCATTCCACGTGAGATGGAGTTTATCATTTGGGTGAAACCAACACAGGAACAAGCCATGGGGTGCTGTCTCAGTTGTATTTCCGCCCTAAGGGATGGGAACGGGAAAGGGACCTTTAATAGTGGAATGCTTCACGCACTCACTTCCTTTGGGGTTTGGACTGCTCATTTGTAACTAAATACGGGGTGTGTGGCTAGAGCTTAGAATGTCAAGATCAAAAGGATTGCCTCTGAATCCATCCATTTGTTCCATTTATCACCCACCCATTCACAAATTCACCCAGTCCATCCATTTATCCAACATGGCTTCATTTAAACTATATCCAGGCTACCCATTCAGTCTGTCCAGACATCTAGGCTTCCATCCATTGGTGCATTCATCCATCCAGTTAACCATCTGGTCAGCTCGTCTACCCATTAATCCACCCACTGATCTGATCATCCACCCACCTAGCCAATCATTGTTTAACCAACTCAGCCTTCCTCCCATCAATACTTCCTTCCCATACAACCTTCCTCCCATCAATACTACCTTCAGCTGTCCAAGTACGTCCAACCAATTCAGCTTCTTCTTACCATATCCAACCAATCTGATCACAACCATTGGTTCAACCAGCTAATTTGTTACCCTACGAGAGCATCAATTCGATTTACCCTACCACGCAACATCCATTCCACTTTCCAGTCATTCAACTGATGTTTCATCCCTCCCTCTCCTCAAGCCTAACCCTGTCACCCATCCCTCTACCAACCAACCTTAACAAATGACTTACCCATCCAGCCTCTCATCTACCTATCCATGCTTCCATCTAGCTAATCTGCAATCTGTCCATCCTCCCAATCAACCCATCCCAATTTATTTCAAGAACTAGCCCATTGGTGCATCATCTGCACAACTTCTCCTTCATCCCCCTCACCTGTGCTTCCTCTGTGCTCAAGTAGCCTTCACCTCGCTACCCTGGGGTCCACCTAGGCTGCTCCCCCTCGCCTGAGGGGTGGCCCTGTGGCCGTTCCCCGCCTGCTTGAAAGGTACCTGAGCTCCGCCTCTTTGTTTTATACACCTGCTGCCTCCTTTTGACCACCTTCCTCTTGTTCACCTTTCCTTCCAAATTCTTTCTGTTCTTGGGGTAGCTGCAGGAATGGGTGGTGGGCCGCGGGGAGCAGTGGTGGCAGTGCATGGTGTGTTTCTGGTGCCTCGGTGGCGGGCTGGGGTGTGAACTCTGGCTCTGGTGGCCAGTGGGGCTCTGGCTGCAGCTCTGGCTGCAGCTCCGGTTGCAGGTTTGGCTGCAGGTTTGGCTGCAGGTTTGGCAGTGGGAGCTGCAGGTGCACGGGCTGCAGGTATGGCTTTGGGGCCGAGGGTTGCTATGGGGCTGGGCGTGGGTGTTGGGAAGGCTCTGTGTCTTGGTGTCCATGGGAGGCCACGCTTGGGGGGCAGAGGCCACCTCCTCCGCCTCTTGCAGCACACCCAGCTTGACAGAGGCCCTGGCGGCCCCTAGTTATATAGTTGGGGCTGATTGTGATGGCACAGGCCACAGGGGCGTAACAGACGTGGCCAGGCCGGGACAAAGCCCCTGCCCCTGACCGTCACCCCAGGGCGGGGCCGCTTGCAGGAGTACTCTGGGGGAGTCCCATCTACTGGTTAAAAGTAGGGACTCTTGGGTCAGATGGAGCTGGGCCCGCATCCCAGATCTGCTGCTTCCTTTCCTCTGGTCGCTCACCTGGGCGTTGGCCTCTCCACATCCTGGTTCCCCTGTCTTTGTACAACAGAGACAATATGAACGCCTCCCTCCTAGGACATCGGATGATTTCAATGAGAGAAGTGATGTCCAGTGGTTGGCTCAGGGCCAGCCCCCAGAAAAAGCTCAGTACCCTTTGTCTAAGCATCCCCAGTGCGTCTCCTTTTTCCCCCCACACGGCGCGGAAGCTAGGAGCGCCTCTGACCCCGGTGCGGTGCGGTGGGGCGGCCGGCGGACGTTGAGCGGGTTGGATGAGAGTCCCTGATGGGTGGTCCTGGGCTCTGCCTGGTGAACTCGCCTCCCCAGCAAGATTTAAAGCCAGGGGATTTAGAGCTGGGTTCAAACCCCAGTTTGCACTGATGTCCATTCTCGGGTAGAGTGTTTTGTTTTTCAAGGCTCGGTTGCCTTATCCAACAAAGGGACATCATTCCTTCCTTTGGGGTGTTCTTCTGAGCCCGAGGTGCCCAGCAAGCCCCAGGACACCCCTGGCAACCTGCCTTTCTCCTGATTCCTGCCTGCCCACCCTGCTCCCCTCCTTGCTGGTGGAGCCCTGCCATACAATTGGAATCACCCTGGTTCAGGGTGATTCCATGCCGTTTGTGCCCTCTGCGTTCAGACCTCCCAGTTCCCGGAGCAGAAAGCCCACACCTGCGTTTGCACATGGCGCCATCGGAGCTGTCCGGTGCTCCGTCTGCAGCCACCTGCCTCTCCCCACTCCTTGGCCAAAGCCATTGCAAGGGCTTAGTTCTTGGCCGCTTGGCCTGTACCTCCCATTCTCCCCTGCCATGGGACTCCCTCTCCCTTCCCCCCAGCCAGCCTCTGCTATCGCTCACGCACAGCTTTGCCCCTTGTTGTGGGGCTTTGCTACAATCTGCTTTTGTTGTAGGTCAGTAATAAGCACTTCCCATCAGTCACGGTGAACACTACTCTCATTGAGCACTTCCTGTGTGGCTGGCCTCCAGCCCCTACCCTGTCCAGGCAGCTCTGCCCTCAAGCCTCCCAGTGACCCTGTGTGGTGGGCTAAATGGTGGCCCCCCAAAGATATGTCCATGTCCTAATCCCTGGACCCTGTCACAGTGAGCGTATTTGGAAAAAGGATCTTTGCAGATGTAAGTAAATTAAAGATCTCAAGAACATCCTGGATTATCCAGGTGGGCCCCTAAGAAACGAATGCACCCTGGGAAGTAGGTATGATCATTAGATTGTACAAAAGGGAAGGAGGCTCAGAGAGCGTGAGTGACCAGTTTTGAATCCAGGTCTGGCCCCTTCTGTTCCCGCCTCCCGGTCATGAAGGGACCCGTGGGGATTACGGAAGGCGTGCATGGCTCTGTTCCGATGGCTCAGCCTTGTGTGGGCTCGGTGGGGCTGGTTGGGAGATCGCTGCTGGGCTACTCTGTGAAGACCCTTTCTGGGTCTCTGGACCATCTCCCCTCCCCTCCCCCACTTCCTCCCCACCCTCTCCCCCCTACCGTCTGCCCCTCACCCTCCCACCACCCCTCCCTGGCTGACTCCCCACATCCCCACCCTTGAGTGCATAGTGGGACAGAGACTGTGTTTTAGTGTTCTCAGGGCCTGTCGTGCCTGGCTTACAGCAGGGGCTCCACAGATGTTGGTGAATGACTGGGCAGGTGGACAGAAGGACCAAACCAGCCCACCAAGCCACAGCAGGGCCCCTTCCTTCCGACGACACCTGCCCTCTGCCTGCCGAAGGCCTCAGTGGCGGCCTCCCCCTTGAGTAACTCAGGGCCCCTCCTTACCCTCACGTATAGCTCCCAGAGAAACTGAGGCTCCCATGGAAATACTTTGTCCCCTGCAACCCCTCCCCAGCAGCCCCAATCAGGATCCTTCTTGGGCCCAGATGGCTGGTGCTTGGGGGACCGAGGGAAGGGGGCAGAACACATTTGTCCTTTCTTGCGGGAAGAGGAGGGTCAAGGGAGTCAGGGTAGGATGGGCCACAGACGCATTCTGATGCTTCTCGAAGGCCAGAGTAAGCAGACGCAGGGCCCGGTTCTGGGTCTGGGTTCCCGCTGCCCGTTGCTGTGATAAGGGCAATGGCAACTGGACCCCTTGATAAAGGCAGAAGTGAGCCTCTGGGCAGGGGAGGAGGGTGCTGCACAAGTGGTCACCTTAAGTGTGAGGATAGTAGCAGAGGACTCGAGACCCCTCCCTATGCTCTGACCCCCAAACCAGGGCTGGAGTGGCAGGTGTACCCACCATGACTCCAGCAGCACTTCCTGTGTGCCAGGCTTCATCCCACCCACCCCCCGCAGTGACTTCTCCAAAACGACTAACCTGTGGGGTAGCAGGGAGGGGCAGGCTGAGGCTCAGAGACAGACAGTGACTTGCTCAAGGTCACACAGCTAGCAGAAAGAAATTGGAACCCAGGTCTGCTGAACTCCCAAGCTCTTCTTGCTCCCCCCTGCATCTGCCCAGACTCAGAGAGGAATCTCCCCCCTTCCCCTGCACCCGCCCCCCGACAGCACTGGCTGACCGCCATCCTGGGCTACCACATTTCCCAGCCCCCAAAAGCAGGGGAGGGTGGCTGAGAAGTCATGGGGGGGTGAGCCTCATGAGAACTTCTGGCTGGACCTCAGGAACAGGGGTCACGGACTCCTGCTCTTCAGGCTCCCTGAACATGCAAACTTGCGGCACCACAGGAGAGCAGAAGTCCTTGGAGACTTTTTATTGACTCTTTTCTGAAAGTTCTTCTCGCTGGAACAGTGCCAGGCCCCTCTTCCTGGGCCACCGTCATGGGTCAGGAGCGCGTCTGCTTGGGCTCGGGGTTCTGCTGGGCCACAGGGTCTTCTTCGGCGCTCTCCTCCTCCTGCCGCTCGGACTCCATCAACAGCAGCTTGCCCTGCACCGGGAGCTCTTCCTCCTCCTCCGCCTCCTCCTCCTCCTCCTCCTCCTCCTCCTCTTCCTCTTCCTCAGCCTCGGACGACAAGGAGAAGTTATCCTGACTCACGCAGGCCACGAGCTTCTTCATGGACGATTCGTGGCCCCGGCTGTGGCCTGTGCTGAGCTTGGCACAACGGGAACCCATTGCCCGCTCTGGCTACCTCTCCAGACTGGGCAGGAAGGCCACTGGGGGCAAAGTGGAGGGGCTGTGAGGACAGCAGGCAGGGCGCTGACATCACAAAGGGACCCCTGGAGCCCCCCAGCCCCACCCTTGGATACCTGAGTCCCGGGCCAACACCTGCCTCAGACCCCGGCCACCAGCAGCCCCCCTGCGCTCCCACCACCTGCAGGCCGGGTCAGAGAATTCCAGGCCGGCCCCCTTGCCTTGCCATGTTACTCCCACCACCAGGCCTCATTTGTGCTGGCAAAAGGTCCCCTTTTAGCTGGGATGACAGTTGGGGATAGAATTTCCAGAAGCAGGAGAGCCCACAGACTCCTCCCCACATTCCAGAAATACCCAGCCCGAGAGAGAGCTGTTGACAGTATGTGAAGATGGGTCAGAATAGTGGCTCCTTTTGGGGGAATTGGCACGAGGGAGGGGAGGGGCTGGAAATGTCTGGTTTCTTGACCCGGGGCCGGGGAAGGGGGCCGGTGGGGGAGGCCACACGGGTATACTTAAAACTCGTGCTCTATGCATAAGCTGTGCTCCTAGAAAACTAAAGAAAACCCTCCCTACTAAGTCTTTCCTGTTTGGGGATCACAGGTCTCTTTACACATGCCCATACCACAGTTTTCAGCACGGGAGGGGAGGAGTCCTTCCTGAGCACTTGGGATGGAAGAATGGATTTCCTGCCAATTTTCTGCCCCCAATCCTCGGTGACTGTGGTCTGCTGAATAAGGACCCTCCAGGGCTCTTGAGGTGGGGAGACTAGCCTGGCTTATCTGAGTGGGCCCTTAATGTGCTCAGAGGTGTCCCTATAAGAGAGGCAGAGGGATTTCACACAGGAGGGCAGTGTGCTCACAGAAGCAGAGATTAGAACACTATGAAAACTAGGAGGCGCTTCACTCCAGAGGCAGGAACAGGTTCTGTCCTGGAGCCTCCAGAGGGTGGGGGCTTATACACACTTAAAAGTGTGTGGCAATGCAGGGCCTCAGACCGCGCACAAGGCCTCACTCCGTCCCGCGAGGGGCTTTGGTTCCCTCCATGCTGGCCTTGTTCTTGCTGGAGCATGCCAGACCTGCTGTCCACCTCGGTCACAAGTCCCCCTTTCCCCAGCTACCCAGCACCCCTGAATATTCGTTAAGGCAGAATAGTGAGGCCCAGCAGGAAACCCTGAATCTGGGTGATGGAAGGTACCCACAGTGTCACAGGGTGACCCGCCAGCACAGTACGGGATTTAGTTTTATCATATTCATTTACTCTTATATCAGTGCCATTTGCATAAAGGAGACCCTGACAGCCACGTGTATTATCTCAAGCTTTATTTGGCAGATCACTTTTGCTCATGGTAGTCAAGATGTTGTGGGCTCCGGCATCAGACGTCGGGGGATGTCTGTGGTCTGGTGAGGTGGTTCTTTGGTGGGTGACTTTTCCTTAATTCCCATCCAGGGCTGTGATGGCCCCAGGAAGGCTTAGTACCGCCTTCTCTGTCTCCTCCTTCTGACCCTTCTGGAGCCTTGTGGGAAGGAGTTCGGGTTCCCGGGCTGTGGGGATGGGGCTCGGTGGCGGGGAGAGGGTGTCCCAGGGGGCGGGGCGCGTCCGGGGTGGGGACTGGCCAGACCTCTGTGGTGCCTCCCGTGCCTG